AGACAATGTTTTGAAAATGATGACAGCAACACTTGTACAAATGTGCTTGATGCAATTGATGTATGGATTTGTTATAAGAGCTCTAAGAGCCCCCAATAAAATGATTTATTTTTTTTTAAGTTTCACTATCTCTATCAGCAAATAAAATCTTACCCCATAAAAATAAGGTGAAAATATTATTCTCTTTTTTTTTTTTCTTCTGCCTCTCCCAAGCTCTCTGCACACGACACGACAGAAAATATTATTCTCTTAGTGACTATCCTTGAGCATAGATTATGTTTAAGTGTTAAATGTAAGCTTTACTAAAATGGGTGCTTACTTCCCAGGATGTCACAATCTGGAAGCAAGAGGTGGGAATTTCAAGCCAAATTAGATCATATCAATAAGCATATGAAGAATAAGATAAAGGTCTATGCAAATGACGAGTAACATGCTCTGGGAATACACATCTATACAAGAACAGGAGTGTAACATTATCTAGCCCCCTGGGAGCGGTTTTACTCTACTGTGAGGAGACAAGGGCACATTCAAGTTCTCTGGCCTCTTTATGTCCTCAGGTAAGCAATAAAAAGAAACGAATACATATTTTAAAAGGAAAAGCTCCTAGACATCCTGATAGTCCATCACTGTCAACAATATCCAATGAGGCAGGCAGTGAACAATGCTACGTGTAAGGCTTCGTCACGGTTGGTAAGGCAGAGGGCCAGCGCACAGAGGAAGGCCCTTGAGATGGGTGGACGCAGCGGCTGCCTCAATGGGCTTAAGCACAGGAACAGCGGTGAGGCCGGACGGCGCAGGCTGGGCGGGGTTTCATTCCACTGGACATTAAGGTCGCTATGGACTGGAACCAACCCCATGGCACGTGACAACTACGAACAGTACTGGGGATAGTGCACCTTCCTCGTGGTTTGTCCTGATCAAGCTTGTGATTCTGGGAGAACCCACTAGAGGCTGTTGGCTTTGTACACAATACATTGCTATTTTTAATATATTGCTTATAGTCAAATCTTATATTAGATCTGAGAATTTCAGGACATGGTACAAATTATCCCCGGAAGACACTGAAGAAATAGAAGAACCAATTCAGCAGGATTCAAGCAAATTGTCTTCCAAATAGCTAGTAAATCGGGTAGATTCTTGAATGTGTAATTAGTAGCAGTCATTGGTAACTAGTTTTTCTACAAATCCTTCTGCTACTTGCATTGTAAGTGTATCCCTAGAAATATTGTCCAATGTGCAATTTAACCACAGGCAAAGGATTGGGGATTACTGCTACTTATGATAAAAGAATACTTCCAGGGAAATATTTGAAATTTTACCTCTGGAATTTGCCA